CCACATCTGTAATTCTAGGGTTAAAATATGTCGTATTGATGGACTCATGTAGAGTAGAAAATGAATAACAATCGTACTCATATTTCTAACAAAGTATGTGAGAAAAAAGAAAAAAACTGGTCTAAACTTAAATGAAAGGTTTTATCAAAACGCCTAAACATGCCAAACAAAAAACGAAAATTATTGAAAAGTAGCGAAAGCGTGTCCTAATATTAAAGTGCCTAGATGCAGATCGAGGGGTACAAGGTTCGAGCCGTAATGCTACTGAACACGCACTATATTTACAGTAATAGGCAATTCTATTATTCGGTTCAAAGAGCGGGACAAAGATTTTGTGGTAGCTTACTTGATGACCTCCCTCTAGTCAATAGATCAAAATTAATAGCAGTCATACATGAACTTTAGGGTTCACTGACCTAAACATCCAGACTACGTATCTTATAAAATGCTATTCACGTTAAAAATGTCTATTATTATTGAAAACTTTCAGAAAGTTACTTGCTCACATATGAAAAATTCCACAGAATCCATATTTGATCATATTTTGTGTTATGGGCTTTTCGGTGTTTATATTTCGTGACACGTGATATATACATATATATATATAGAGAGAGATGATCAGATTCATAACGTCATATTTATCTAGAGTCGCAGAGTTTACACAGACATTCCACTAAATATATCTTAAACAACATTTCCTACAGGCAACATTTCTATTAATTAATTCAAAATGCTTAAAAGCTTTACCTCTTTATCAATCCCCTGATTGTCAACAACTTAGAGAGAGGATGAGGGAGGAGGAAACTAGAATTGGACCACAGTGTATTTTAGTTTCTTTACACCTAATTTACTATTAATTACAAGCTCTGAAATTCTAGTGCTGACGATGACCTTGAAACTTTCGACGACCAAGTTTTAATGTTGACCATAAAATGAGTCTGTATGACAAACTTAGTGGTCAAACAAGCAAGCCTCTTCATTCCCACTTTGACGTTTGGTCAAAGAAACAAAGCCCTCAGTTCCTCCTATACTCTCGCTGGTGGTAATATGAATAGAACGTTTGGTACAACCTAGGTGTAGGTATAGAAAATAGAATGTTTGGTACAACCTAGGTATAGGTATAGAAAATAGAATGTTTGGTACAACCTAGGTGTAGGTATAGAAAATAGAATGTTTGGTACCACCTAGGTGTAGGTATAGAAAATAGAATGTTTGGTACAACCTAGGTGTAGGTATAGAAAATAGAATGTTTGGTACAACCTAGGTGTAGGTATAGAAAATAGAATGTTTGGTACCACCTAGGTGTAGGTATAGAAAA